ATTATTAAGAGAAGCTGCAAACCACAGGGTAAGAGGGTTAATATATCATAATTTATATAAGAAAGGGTAAACATAACATCTCTGCTTAGATCATTTACACATATGCTTGTCCATTGTGATGTCAGGGTTTAGGCCTATTTTTGTTGTTCTTTATTTTCTGCTTGTTTCCTCTGTTTATCATGCCTCATTTCCTTTTCTTGTCCTCCTTAGGGTTATTTAAATATTTTTGGGATTCTGTCCTGGCTTATTTATAGTATTTTAGTGTATACTATTTGTATGGTTTGTATAGTGGTTGGGTGTTTGTGTATGTGTCAGAGAGAGAGACTTAACGATAGTCTGTTGATATGAATGAATTACAGAAATTTCACTCCCATTTAAGTCCCTTATTGTCCCACATTTAAATATCACTGTCTTCAGTATCAGATGGTATGATAATTTTTGGACCAATCGTCTTGTATAACTTAGAGAACTAGTAAGAAAAGGGGCTAGTCTTTGGTATTTATACATATTTCTGCTTTCTTTTCTTTCTTCCTGATGATCTAAATTATTTCCTTTCTTTTGGAAAATTTCCTTTAGCCATCTGCTAGTGACAAATTCTTTTTTTCTTTTAAAGATTTATTTATTTGAAAGAGTTAGAGAGAGAGGTCCTCTATCTGCTGATTCATTCCCCAAATGGCAGCAACAGCTGGAACTGGGCCGATCCGAAGCCAGGAGCTTTTTCCAGTTCTCCCAACCAGGTGCAGGAGCCCAAGGACCTGGGCCATCTTCTACTGCTTTCCCAGGCCATAGCAGAGAGCTGGATCGGAAGTGGAGCAGCCGGGACTCAAACCGGCACCCATATGGGATGTCAGTGCTGCAGGCAGCAGCTTTACTGGCTATGCCACAACGCTGGCCCCTAGCTCATTTGTTATTAATGTCCCACAGGTTCAAGAGACTCTGTTCAGTTTATTTTCTCCCTGTTCTTCAGATTAGGTAAATTCTGTTGCTCTGTCTCTGACTTCACTGATTCTATCCTCTGTCTTCATTCTGTTATTAAGTATCTCTAGATAGTTTTATTATTTCTGTTATTTTTCGGTTCTATAATTCCATGTGGTATTTTAAAAATTTCTTCTATTTATTTGCTAACTTTTTCTGTATTTTCACTTGTTTTAAGAACATTTGAAGTTCCTTGTATCTTTTTTCATTATTGTTACTTTAAAAATTTTGTCAGGTTGTTCTAACATCTAATTCATCTCCATATGGAAGTCAGATGATTGCCTTTCCCATTTAAGTTGTGATTTTCTTGGTTCTTTGTGTGATGAGTGACTTTGCTTATATCTGAATAGTTTGGCTTTTATGTTAGGAGATTCTCAGTTCTACTTAATTTTTTATTTTAATAATCACTCAGGGCCAGTGCTGTGGCATAGCAGGTAAAGCCGCCACCTGCAGTGCTGGCATCTCATAGTGGCACTGGTTCGAGTCCCAACTGCTCGATTTGGCACAGTTCCAGCTATTGTGGCCATCTGGGGAGTGAACCAGCACATGGAAGACTTCTCTCTCTCTCTGCCTCTGCTTCTTTGTAACTCTTTCAAGTAAACAAATAAAATCTTAAAAAACAAATCAAAAAGAATAAGGACACCACCAATCCATTTTTAAAAAGATCACTCTGGGGCCGGCGCCATGGCTCACTTGGTTAATCCTCCGCCTGCAGCGCTGGCATCCCATATGGGCGCTGGATTCTAGTCCCGGTTGCTCCTCTTTCAGTCCAGCTCTCTGCTGTGGCCCAGGAGGGCAGCGGAGGATGGCCCAAGTGCTTGGGTCCCTGCACCCGCATGGGAGACCAGGAAGAAGCACCTGGCTCCTGGCTTCGGATCGGTGCAGTGCCGGCCGTGGCTGCCATTTGGGGGGTGAAGCAATGGAAGGAAGATCTTTCTTTCTGTTTCTCTCTCTCTCTCTCTCTCACTGTCTTAACTCTATCTGTCAAATAAATTAAAAAAAAAATCACTCTGTGTAGGCTTAACATGCAGGTCCTAAGCTAACTTTTATGGATGGTTCCAAAGACAATTTAATTTTTGCTATTTTGGTCTGCTGCATTTGTCTCCTGCCTCTCAGGCTCTCATTGGTCCGTAGGGTTATGTGAGGAGTTGAAAGGAGGTTCTCAGATTGGGTGCCTTCAGATGGGAGACAGAATTTCCAGACTGTGAGGACGAAAACCACTTCCTGAGCTGAGTGCTTGTGGTTGAATCCCCCTCACTGATGGCCTCTGTCAAGTGGGTGTCTGAGTGGGAGAGGCAGGTCTCAGGCTGGTGGGAAAAAGAGTTCGCCTGGCTAGTTTTGTTAGGGGGACTTTCTCTGATTTCCTTGTGGTTCTTTGGAGACTGTCTAGTGTTGCTGACAGAACTCCTGATCTGGAAGAGGAAGAATAAAGAATAAAGCTACCTGGAAAGCCTTAGTTAAAGTTGCTAGATTGAGTGTTGGAAGAGGCCTGGCTTGAGTTACCTTCTGTTGGGGGAGAGGGAAGGTCATAAGGCTCTCTGTCACATCGATGCACTTTCCTCACTCTACCTTTCAGAATTCCCTTGAGTTGTCTCTTCTGTCATTTCCAAGCTTTTTAGTCACTTAGCAGGAGGACAGGGAGAGACATGTTTACGCCATCTCACCCAGACAGGTACTTTAGAAGAGTACACAAGGAACTGACAATCTGGTTTCCCCCTGGGGAGGAGACATGGAGGAAAAAAGGTAAAAGAGAGACCTTTTTTTTTTGCGGGGGGGGGGAGGATATATATCTGCTGTATGCTCTCATTTTAACTAAGCAAAAATATCGTCTCCTCAAAAATAAAAATAAGCATAAAATTAACTCAGCTTTAACTCAGCTTTGCTTTCAAGAGCACAACCAAAGATGATAAGAGAGGTCAAGCAGCAGAGGGTTCAACAGTTGGTAATTTTATTAAATTTCACTGACTTTTAATTTCACTTATAGTGTCACTGTTTTCATCCAGGTCCCTGAATATAAAAATAATATCCTCAGTGGATTTTCAGCTTGCTCACACATTTTGAATAACTTGCAGAATATAAATGTGTAATTTAGATAGAAGTAGATGCTTTTGGCAGCATACAAGTACCCTAATAAGCTGAAAAAAATAATATTTATGTGTCATTAAAGCAAAATTAATAGCACAACACTGATTACATTGAAAGATTTTATGTTGTGATTATTAAACTTGCAAACAACTTGGCATAATTAATGCCTTAATTAAGATATGACCTGAAATTTCAGCTTCCAAAATTAATAAAGGCAATTTAAAGTCACATTTGTAAAGTAAAATAGGTTTTGTAAATGACAAGGTGGTTGAATATCACTTCACCCCCCTCATTTTTATAGGTATTAAGCTTACAATGCAATTAATTTGATTGCTACACCAAATCCCAAGCACAGTGACTCAGTCTGAAGCTGTAAGAGTCAAGGTTAGCAACTTTGAACCAAAGACTTCCACCAACAAGGAAGCTCCCAGACACATGCTTTCTGGATAGCTCTAGAGCAAAATGAATCAGCAAAGACTTTTGTCTCCCTAGCACCTTAACTGAAATGTTAACTAGGAGATCAATATCGACTTTGATCAGACTCTATCATTTTTGCAAACTATTTGGAATTCAAGTGGCAGTTTGCACCACTTGATTTATTCTTCAGAACCTGCTTCTTGAAAGTATTTCAGGTCATAAAGTTTGCCGCACCATGAAGGTTCCAATCCAGGACCAAAGAGTTTCTTACCAGTAGATAAAAATAGAGACTTAAATAAAGATTGACTGGTGATTTGGGGAAAAAGTAAATCTGAAATAGTACCTCATGCCATTTGCCAAAATAAAATCCAATAGATCAAAGATTTGGTGTAAAAGTAAAATCATGAATGTACCAGATGAAGATGGGGGTCAATTTTTTTTATAACATTGTAACCCAGAGGAGTTTTCAAATCATGGCAGGTAAAACAAAAGCCATACAGGAAATGAGTAACAAATATGCAAACCTGAGATGTTTTAAACCTCCATGCATTAAAAAAAAGAAGCTTTCAAGAGCAAATCAAGAAGTAACTGACTAAAATCTGAAACTATTATTTCTGTCTTGATTCATTTTTCCCCATCAAGGCATAGTTTTCTTCCCTAATAATAAGGAAATAATTGGAAATACGCATCATGATTTATGGACAATGATATTGTTTAGGAAAAATTAAAAGAACTTATGTTAAATAATAGCTCACAATGTGATTAAATAAAGTACAGAATAACTATAAGGTTAAGCCATTAAAACAGAATGATGAATAACATCAGGATATTTTTATTATAGGACTTACTAAAAATGGTAAAGTATTGATTAACCTAATTTGATTTTTTAAATCTAGACTGAAAAAAAGACTAGAAGAAAACAAAGTATCAATGATAATTATTCCTGGAGTTAGAATTATGAGAAAATATTGTTGTCTTTTTAGTACTTCAAGCTTTTTACAATAAGGAAAATATTTTGTACTCAATTTTTTTATTCCTTGAAACTTTAAATAAAAGTATATTTCAATTTTTTCCAAAAATAGCTAATTTGGAACTAGAACAGCTATGAAAAATAAAATTTAATATCTGGAAAAAGGTAGCTTACAATACAGCAATTACAATGAGCTTCTTTTTATTTAAAAGAAAAACAATCTCTCTACACAATTCAAGGATACTATGTCAAATAGGTTACATCTGTAGCTATTGGTTGTGGTTTCTCTCTCTCTCTTTCCCACATACATCAGCCCTAGAACAGAGGCTGCTCTTTCATATGCTACAGTATCACCAGAGAGTTCTTTCATAAACTCAGTGGCGTGTCTGTCAATTCCTAACTATCTGTGTTTACACAGCAAGGAACATGGGGTCCAAAATTCAGATGACCTGATCTTAGCAATAAGCTTATATATTTAACTGGAGACACTTGCAATCACAAAATAATTATCACTAGTAGCACAAGAAATGTCATCATTGAGCTGTTTCTGTACCTGTAGGTTTTCTTAATTTCTTCATGTGAAGCTCCCTTATGCAGACCAAGAATCTCATACAGAGTCTCTCCAGTTGTTGACACAGTTCGCTGCCGTTGGTAAGGTGTATTACATGCCATTTTCTCAGGCTGTAAAATCAATGGGGGAAAACAGCCATGAAGGTTATGCACATCAGCTCTCAGCCTCTAAAGGGGAAGAGGGGAAGACAGGTCATTGTTGACTTTTTATACAATGACAGTTTGTATGCCAGCTGCAAAAGAAAGGGACAAAGGATTAGGAGATGCAAAAGTAGAGCTTTGAGTCAGGGTGTCAGAGGATATAGGCAGTCATGCAAATGGAATCAACTTTATCCACATCACTGAATAGAAGCAAACATTATCTAAGTGTGCAGCTAACTCAGAATGGTTTAGAATCACTCTTCACAGGTCGGGCAAATGCAGGTCTTTGGTGGGGTAGGGGCCAGAATTTACATAATGTTTTTTCTAAGTCTTCCAAATTTAGTTGGCAATGGAAATAATCATTCATCTTATTCCAACTCTGTTAGTTTAGCCATTGAAAAAGCAAGAATATTTTTTCAAAAAAAAAAAAAACAACTTTTGGGGCTGGCATTGTGGCAAAGCAGGTTAAGCCTCCACCTGAGACATTGAATGCCGATTCAAGAGCTGGCTGCTCCACTTCTGATCCCGCTTCATACTAATGCTCCTGGGAAAGCAGTGGAAGATGGCCCAAGTGCTTGGGCCCCTGCATCCATGTGGGATAGCTGGAGGAAGTTCCAGGCTCCAGGCTCCAGGCTCCTGGCTTTGGATTGGCTCAGCTCCGGCCATTGTGGCCATTTGGTGAGTGACCCTGTGGATGGAAGATCTCTCTCTCTCTCTCTCTTTCTCTCTCTCTCTCTCCCCCCTCCTGTCTCTGTAACTCAGCCTTTCAAATTAAACAAACAGGCAAACAAAAAACTTAAAAAATATTAAGGAAAAAAAATACTGATCTCATCTGAGACCTAGGTTAGAACTTTCTGTCACCAGAGGGAGCCCAGAGCTATGTCCCCACCTGCTGCCTGCAACACCAGTGCTCCTGGGCGTTCTGCATTTGTGATCTACCGGAGTGGGTTGGGCTATCCTAGGTCCTAAGGAACCATCTGCTTGCTGAATTCTGGCTCTGGGCTAGGGGCCAGGGGTGGCTCACAGAAGCACACTTGGGAGACATTCTTGTATCCATCACTTAACCTGTCTGAGCACTAGTGTCTTCACCTGAAATACCAAGTTAATAAAACCCTTCTCATAAAGATACCTCAATGATTTAGAAATAATGCATACAGTGTAACCAGTGAATAGTTAAGTTCAAAGGAAAAGGTAACTATTTTTATTATTTTAAAATGGTTTCTATCAGAATAGTTTTAAATTTAGATAACCAAAATCGTAAAGTAATAAAAAAAGTTCTCATATACACAACATCCAGCTTCCCCTATTATTAACATCTTACATTAAGATGATACATTTGTCACAATCTATAAACCACACCCAGCTTCTATTACTAACATCTCCTATTAGTGCAATATATTTGTCACAATTAGTGAATCATACCCAGCTTTCCCTATTTTTTAAAATCCAAACTCCCTCTATCCCTCCTACCCCTCCCAGCTTCTAGTAGTAATATTCTGTATTTTGATTGAGTTTTGCTTTTAGCTCCCACATATAAGGGAGAACATGCGTCATTTACCACTCCATGTCTGACTTATTCCAGGCAGCACAGTGTGCAATTCAGAGTGCTCTGTAGTCAGACCCTTCAGGTTGGGATATTGACCTTGCCATTACCAGCTGCATGACTTCCTTTGTCTGTAAATTAGACACAAAAAAGTGCCTGAATTTATCTAACTTTTGCAAGAATTAAATCAGTTAATAAATTTAAAAGAATACACCAGTGTTCGTAACAGCATTATTCATAAAAGCCAAAAGGTAGAAACAACCTCAGTGTCCATCCAGGGGGTGAAATCATGAAGAAATGTAGTGTGTACATAGAATCAAATATTATTGAGTTACGAAAAGAAATGGAACTCTATTGATATATGCTGCAACAAATTGAAGATACCAGGACTCTTCAAAAACATTCATGGGGAATGTGTATTACAAAAAAAAAAAAAAAAAAAAACACTAGGCATGAATTTCAAAGTTTTTGCACCAACATAAACTTGCCTATAATTAAATTTTTCCACAAACTTTTTGGAATACCCTCATTTTATGCTAATAGAGATAAATCAGTGATAAAAGGATGAATGTTGTGTGATTCCACTTATATGATGTAGGAGAGGGAAATTCAGAGATAGAAAACAGCATAGAAGTTACCAGGGTCTGGGGACAGGGAGTTATCAGATATAGAGTTTCTATTTGAGGTAATGACAAATTCTTTTTTTTTGAGATTGACTTAAACTTTTATTTTTTTTTTACTTTTTTGTGTTTTTTTTTGTATTTTTAAACTTTTATTTAGTAAATATAAATTTCCAAAGTACAGTTTATGGATTACAATGGCTTTTACCCCCCATAACTTCCCTCCCACCCGTACCCCTCCCATCTCCTGCTCTCTCTCTCATTCCATTCACATCAAGATTCATTTTCAATTATCTTTATATACAGAAGATTGATTTAGTATGTATTAAGTAAAGATTTCATTAGTTTACACCCACACAGAAACACGAAGTGTAAAATACTGTTTGAGTACTAGTTATAACATTAATTCACATTGGACAACACATTAAGGACAGAGATACCACATGAGGAGTAAGTACACAGTGACTCCTATTGTTGACTTAACAATTTATTTTTAATTTTTTTTGACAGGCAGAGTGGACAGTGAGAGAGAGAGGCAGAGAGAAAGGTCTTCCTCTTGCCGTTGGTTCACCCTCCAATGGCCGCCACTGCCAGTGCACTGCGGCCGGCGCACCGCGCTGATCCGATGGCAGGAGCCAGGTGCTTCTGGTCTCCCATGCGGGTGCAGGGCCCAAGCACTTGGGCCATCCTCCACTGCACTCCCTGGCCACAGCAGAGAGCTGGCCTGGAAGAGGGGCAACTGAGACAGAATCCGGTGCTCCGACCAGGACTAGAACCCGGTGTGCCAGCGCCTCAAGGCAGAGGATTAGCCTAGTGAGCCACGGCGCCGGCCTAACTTAACAATTTGACACTCTTGTTTATGGTGTCAGAAATCTCCCTAGGCTCTAGTCGTGAGTTTCCAGGGCTATGGAAGCCTCTTGAGTTCGCTGACTTGAATCTTATTCAGACAAGGTCATAGTCAAAGTGGAAGTTCTCTCCTCCCTTCAGAGAAAGGTACCTCCTTCTTTGATGGCCCGTTCTTTCTACTGGGATCTCACTTGCAGAGATCTTTCATTTAGGTCATTTTTTTTTCCCAGAGTGTCTTGGCTTTCCATGCCTAAAATACTCTCATGGGCTCTTCAGCCAGCTCCGAATGCATTAAGGGCTGATTCTGAGGCCAGAGTGCTGTTTAGGACATCTGCCATTCTACGAGTCTGCTGTGTAGATAATGACAAATTCTACAAATACACAGTGGTGGGGCTGGCATGGTAGGTTGGGTCTCCTCCATCTGCAGTGCCAGCATCCTATATGGACACCAGTTTGAGTCCCGGCTGCTCCACTTCCAATCCAGCTCCCTGCTGGTGGCTTGGGAAAGCAGGGAAAAATGGCCCAAATGCTTAGAGACCTGAAAGAAACTCTTGGTTCCTAGCTTTAGATCAGCTCAGCTCCACTGTGGCCATCTGGGGGAGTGAACCAGTGGATGGAAGACCTCTCTCTCTTTCTATCTCTCCCTCTCTCTATAGTAACTCTGCCTCTCAAATAAAAATCTTTAAAAAAAAAGAAAAGAAAAGAAAGAAAAGAAATACACAGTGGTGATGGTTAGATAGCACTGTGAATGCACACACATTTTGTGTTAAGTGTATTTTGTCACAAAAACAAAGCAATAATTTAAAAAAAATCAAAAGTACCTGGACCTCAAAAGCACAGTAAACAAAAGCAAAAATAGACAAATGGGATTTCATCAAACTAAGAAGCTTCTGCACAGTAAGTATTCAGCACAGTAAGGAGACAACCTGCAGAATGGGAGAAAATACTTGCCAGCTATACATCTGACAAGAGGTTAATACACAGAATCTATAGGAAACCCAAAAACTCAATAGCAAAAATCCAAATAATCCTGTTGAAGTTGAAGAATGGCCGGTAGAACTAAACAGACGCTTTCCAAAAGAAGACATACAAATAGACCAACAGGTACATGAAAACTTCCTCAGCAGTTCCCTAATCATCAGAGAAATACAAGTAAAACCCACAGTGAGATATCAGCTCATTCAAGCTAGATGAGCTATCATCAAAAAGACAAATGATAACAAGTGCTGGGGAGCAAGTGGAGAAAAAGGGGAACCCTGTCACACTAGTGGTGGGAATTAAAATTAGTCCAGTCAATGTGGAAGACAATGTGGATGTTCCTCAAAATCTTAAAAATGGAGCTATCAGAAATCCTAGAAGAAATCCATCTGTTGAAGAGACATCTACACACCCGTATTTAATGCAGCCCTGTTAACAATAGGCAAGAAATGGAAACAACCTAAGTGGCCATCCACTATGAATGGATGTGGAACATGTATGCAGTGGAATACTTTTCAGCCATAAAAAGGATGATGTCCTGACCCTTGAATTGAAGTGAAAGTCATTATCAATTTGTATGTATCAGCTAACATTTTTTTAAATTAAAAGCCAACTACTTTGACTGCAAGCTCCTCTAATCAGAAGTTGCAGACGTCGTTGTCCAGCTCTTAGCTTTGGGCCTTGCACATTAGCAGCTACTGTAACCATGAACAGATGTGAAGTGGTTGACTATGTGAGGGCTAAGGGAATGGTGTCAGGGCTTTGGGGATACTCATTTACAGCACTGGCAGCAGAAGAGCTGGGTATAAACATCCCAGTGGGGAATGGGCTCAGTTGGAGCAGCTCCCAGTTCTGGTCCCACCAGACTAATGACCGCACCAACATCTGCAAAGGCAGGGCCCACATGATGTTGTCTGGTATATCAGAGACCCCAGAGATCCCAAAGTGGTACAGTGAAGGCTGGTAATCCTAAGGGATCCGGT